AAGGCTCCTCTGCATTGCATATTTCATCGTAGCAACTCAAAGAAATGGCGATGGCGACTGTGCGATCTGCTTTCCTTCGAACTGCCCTTCGCGGTGGCTCTCGCGCTCCTGCTCCCCCTAAGCGTGGCTTCGCCTCCTCCTCCCATCACGACGATGCTCGTAAGCGGCTTTCTTCCTTTCATTTCTGATATTATTTTTCCATCTTGTACGAACCGGCATTTTCAACTTGTCAAGCTATTGCGGATTTTGATTTGTGCAATTGCTCATATTTGTTCGGACCAGACTGATCTAATTTAGGGTTTATTTTGATTATACTGTTTAGATTTGAATTAAATCTGCGTATTTGTTCTCTTTTGGTAAAATGGATTTTTCATCATCTTTGAACTCGGCATAAGAATCAGAACAATTCAGATCCAAAATTCGTAGTTGCATTTATGAAAATTGTCTTTCTTTCTGGTTTGATTATTTTTCTCTGTGATCCCCCAAGTGGTGTCTCAACTGGGAATAGCTTGAAAGTTGAAACTCCAACTGAAACTAACGGGTGGAAAGGGATTTGGGATATGGGAGGGCTGTCCACTGTTGTATAGCTGACTCATTAGATGTGCCATTTTTTTTTTTCTGTGATTGGTTTTCGTATTTATTTTCTCTTTTCTTTTTCCCAAATATAGTTTGGATAAATAGATGGTCATTTGTTTAAATGATTTCAGGTGAAACTGCGAAGTGGGAGAAGATAACTTATCTTGGCATTGCTACATGCACGGTTTTAGCCATTTATAACCTCTCAAAGGGTCATCCTCACCATGAGGAGCCTCCTGTAAGTTTCATTTTTTGTCTTTTTTATTTACTCTTTTCATGGTTGTTTTTTATTCTATTTGCATTGGGCTTGGATTTGGATGCCTTAGATTTCAGATATCAAGTTTGCATTTTTTTTCAGCTTGATTGTCATCTGATTTTTTTATTTTTTCTTACTTTTTTATTATATAGCAATACCCATATTTGCACATTCGCAACAAGGAGTTTCCATGGGGTATGTATTCCATTCCATAGCTCAGAATTAATTATTCACTCAAAAAAATAGATGATAATCATTGCTTGTTTCTATTTCCTCTTGCCATTATCTGCTATATCATTTAGAGTTGGATAACTCTCGCTAGTTGCTTCTGCTCTTTGTGTCTAGGTTGTCTTTATGTGACAAATTAACCAATTCAGTTTTTTGTATTTCTATTCCTTTTCTGTGCTCTTTTCTTATTTGTTTCTGTGGAGAATTTAGAGTCTGTTTGGAACCAAACCACAATGGAATTCATTTGACTTTTGTTATTATGAATTTAATTAATTTTTTGCTTAAAGTTGTTATATTCAAGTTTGATCTTTGGTTGTTTTTGAATTTAATAGAATATATGGAAGATATTTCCTGTTTGTTTTTCTAGACATTAGGGAGTATAATAACTGATGCTTGTGTAGAAAGTCAAACAGTTTGATGATCATATCGTGTATTTAGTGTCAAGAGGTACATGGAAAATTTCATGTCACCCTCCATCTCCAAAAGATTTTGGTTCTTGTTCTTGAAGATTTTTGTTATTGTTCATGTCAATATCATTTTTCATTAGTTTGTGGAGTAGGGTTGTCTCTCTAGAATGCTTTTCATGCTTAAATATGTTATCTGTTATATGTCACCTGCTATGATTATTGATTGTTTGTGTTAATGAATTATAATTCAGAATGGCTGTTTTGTTGTTGTGGAGACATTTGTTTTCTTTCTTTCTTATGTTTTCCTTTCTGACTGATAAAGATGTGATTTCCTTTGTTTCTTCATTTGAAAATTCAAACATGAGTTGGTCTGCTCATAAAAGAACTTGTGATTTAGAGAAGTGTTTAATCTAGTGGTCTGTCCATATAATAGATAACCTCAGGTAATGAGTATGGCATTACTCTGAATTTCAAAGAGATTCCATGCCTTAATTCCTTGTGTGTACAGATATATAACATTTATTTATTTATTGTTCCCTGCTGTATCGGCATGTGCTACCTTATTCAGTTCTTTTCCTTCACTATCACTATGATGTTTCAAAGGTTGGCTGTAGAATTGTAATGGTTTCGGTGATTTAGACTAAGGGACTGAACTGGGTGGCATTGACTGTTGCTTCTCCAAGGATATTTGTTGAGATACCCATTGAATCAAATCATGTAATCTATTAACTACGTTAAGGCCAATGATAGAGTAGATGAAATTTAGAGGAAGTTTGTAAATGGAAAATTGTTTCAAATTGCTCAGGGACCATATCTTAAGTCATTATTTTATTAGCCCAAAATGTAAATCAACTAAGATTTTATAGGTTTAAGTGATGCAAATTTGTCTTTTTAGATAATTATAACTGTGTTCTGCCAAACCATTCTTTTAGTTTGACTCTAAACATCATCAATGTTTCTGAATATATTTAATTTTGCTTATTCATGGTTTTCACTGATTATATATTGTGATATCCAGGTCCTGATGGTCTTTTTGAGATGAAGCACCACTAGGATAACCAATGACCCTGTTGGATGCTGATATGTTCTTAAATACTTGTTTTAGTACATTTCTCCTCATTTGTCATACAGATGAATTTCATAATCATGGAAATTTCCATGGATGTTAATGTTGGCAATTCCATCTGGCTTTCTAGATTTCAAGACTTGCAGACCAAGTTGTTCTGGGTTTCTGTTGGTTGTGGGGAATAAGAATATGAGTTATTGATGGTTAACTTTGCAACTTGTCCTTCATGAATCTGAATATTCCAATGATTTTTGGAATCAGGGGGTTGTCTTTTCTCAATACCAGAACAAATTTTCTTCAAAATTTCAATAACGAGTAATGAATGTTTTATTTTTCTCATATTAGGCTGACTCGTCTTTCAATAGAATATTTGGTCTCATAACAATTAGAATCAAAATCATTATGCATTAATTTTTAACAATGAGGACTTAGGAGTCTATAATAAATACAAAAGCAAAACTATGGAGACTATATCATCATGATAAGCACAAGTAGCAGCACCTTGGAAATGGAATCAAATGGTTAACGGCAGTGACATTCATCTACTGAACCAAAAAGAACAAGGAGTTTCACTCTGCAGCTGAATTCTCACTATTTTGCACCCCCGTCTCCCTTCACTTCCTGAGAAATCAGGAATCTGAAGAATAACTGGATTTAGTCTGGCCTGCATCAGTCTTGCCATCTGTGTTTGAAGAAACTTCTTTCTTTTCTTGGGAGGAAGAACTGAATGATTCCTTCTGACCAGAATCAACACTATCATTTATGTTTGTATTGCTTTGGCTGTCACTCTGAGCGGCATTGTCATTATCATTCTGACCCGCATTTGGGTTGTTGTTTGTGTTGACCTGCTCAGCATTTTCATTGAAGTTTGCATTGGTGTCTGTGTAGCTTTGAAAAACATTTTCATTTGCATTGTTGTCTGTATTGCTCTGAAGAACATCGTCTTTCTTTTCATTCTGACCTGCCTTTGCATTGTTTTCATTGTTGCCCTGAATGCCATTCTCATTTCCATTTGCACCATTGTCTATATTGCTCTGAACAGCAGAATTGTCTTTCTTGTCATTTTGACCTGCACTTGCATTGTTGTCATTGTTGCTCTGAACACCATCTTCTTTATTTTCATTCTGACCTGCATTAACATTTCCATTTGTGTCTGCAAATGAATCTTTCTGAACGGCGGTTAAAGAATCAGAAGAATGAACTTGTTCCTTCTCTCCAGCATTTGCATTGTCATTTGTGTTCAATGATAGAACATTTTCTTGAGTTCCCTCACCCCCAGAATTGTTGTTGGATTCTTCCATCTGAGCTTTGTTGTCATTTTGGCTCGTGACTGAAGTAGCAGAATCCAGTTGTTTAGATTCATTGGAGTTCTCAGTCTGACCATCAGATGGAAGAGATTCAGAATTGCTGGAAGAAATTGAGGAACCTCCATCATCTCCATTCCCATTCCCATTTGTAGTGGAAGGTGTAGCATTTGAATCTGACTGCTGGTCATTTGCTGTTGAGTCAGAATTCTCAGTTTGCTGTGTTGCAACAATTTGATTCTGCAATGTATCAGATGCTGTATCCGTCACACTATGCAGGGAAGAGGCGTTTGCATTTTCTTGCTTCTTTTCATTTGATTCTGTTACGGTTGTGGAATCAGGATGGAGATCCTCTTTTGACTCAGCTTGATTGCTCTCATTGCCACTTTCCTGATTTGCTGTGGAATCTGAAAATTCAATCTTTTCATTTGTTCCAGTTTCTTTTACATTTGAGACTGACTCATCTGGATGGGAATTGACTTCTTCAGTACTCTTTGCCTGGTTCTCCTGATCAGATTTATTTTCTTCTTTGGTTTCTACTTGTTCTGTTTCATTGGAATTTTCAGAACTGCCTTGCTCGGCTGCTGTATCTTGAGTTTTATGGACAACTTCACTGGAAGCATCATCCCCCTTGTAGTGTACCTCTCTTGCCTCTGCTTTATGCCCATCATTTCCATCAGAAACCTTATCTTCTGAATTACCAGAATTCTCTATCTGAGAATCAGCCTTTTCAGTCTCATTGCTTTCTTCCCCAATCTCCTTATTCTCCTTTTCTTGACTCTCCTCTGTGCTTTCCCTCCCTTCACTATTGTTCACTTGAGTCTCTTCATTCATCTTGTCTTCGCTTTCCTTATTCTCCTCATTCTCCTTGGATTCTCCATCCTTCTCTTTACTCTCCTCATTCTCCTTTTCTTCATTTTCTTTTTCCTTGATCTCTCCATTCTCCTCTTCACCATTATTCTCTTTGCTCTCTTCAATCTCCTTCTCTTGAGTAACATTGTCCTTATTTTCTTCACTTTCCTTATCTCCATTTATTGATTCTTCTCTGTGCTCTCTCTCCTCCTCACCTTTATCTTGATCATGTTCATGCGCAACATCATCATCCCCACCCCCTCTTCCAACACTATCTACTTCCTCAGGCTTGTTTTGGTCTTCTTCATTCAGCCTGTCAAGCCTGTCTTCCTCTTCCTCCTCCTTGTGCCTTGCATCTCTAATAATTGTTTCCTCCACTTGAGGATGGAGATCCTTTCTCCCCAACTTCAGTTCGTTCCCATGTTTTGGGATATCCTCATGTGCCGCTTTCTTTTCACCGGAGTGCCTAACCTGGTAAACCAGCCAGATGCAAACACCAACCAAAACACAGATCTGCAGAACATGCTTCACTTTCAAACCTTTAGATCTTTGGCTCCTACGCGGTGATGACTTGAACATGATTTGCTTCCTTCAATCAACCTGCCAATGATGTAATGCACTATCTGATCTTTAAAATCGACAAAGATAAAAAAAAAAAAGTGATCAAAATCAAAACAAAAATATTTCCATTTTTCACCAAATTCGGTTGAATTAAGCAATTCAGATCCTATAACTCACAAGCATAATTGTAGTTCATTAACAATAGAAAACAAAATTCAGGAGACTACTTCAAACATATAAATCAAACACATATATTCTTCATCTCTGCGGCTATGTCAAGACAATTATGCAATATTGGAATTCAAAGTACTAAACAGAAGAACACAGATCATAGCACTTCCAGCAGTTGAGATCAAACCTAACAATTGCAACCAAAAGAAAAAAACCCAGTGATCTTTCACATCACCGACACTGGATCTTAAAAACAAAAAATTACATTTCTATAATTTCCTGACAAAAAAACAAAATTTCGAAACTAGATAACTAACATCAAAACGAATTTCAATCAGAAAATAGAAAAACATACAAGGGGAACTGAATCCATTCCAGTGTGTGGCTTCTTAAGCAAGAAATACAGAATGATTAGAAGTGGAAACCACAAAGAGAGCATGATTAAGCAAATTCTCGAATCCTTAACCAGATCCGTACAGAGTCAGAGTATAATAAAACATAAAATCTCTAATAATATCATATTCTTTCTAACACTTAACGCATATTGATAGGAAAAGATACTCACCGAATAGAACTTAGAACAACGATTATCGCAAAAGAATTAGGTGCTGATTCTCCAAAATGTCTGCAATTAAACCACTCGAAAGAGAGAATCTGATTCGAGATCGAAAGATTTCTGAAAATATTTGGTGTCGGTGCACTCACTCACTCTCAGATTGGATCTCTGCAAATGGAGACGAAACAGAGCACTAACTTAAAAGCAAGGTGACAGCGCCACAAAATAATCCCATCCCACTTAAATCTTAAAAAAAAGAGAGGAAAATCTGCATGTTTACACCTTGCCGCATGTGACTTTACTTGCGCCGTTTATGGCGCACCATAAATTCTCGCTCAAGATTCCATCAAACAGTGCCGTTTTTGTACTCTTTGTATTGTTCAAGCGCAATTGTATTGCTTCGTAATCGGATTAGGTAACATTGCACAATTTCAATTTGGTTTAGGGTGAATTTCTTAATAGGGTTTTTCTGAGAGCCTTGAAAAAATTTTACAAATTTTTTTTAAAAAATA